GCCGCCTCACTGTACTGGAGTCGAGCTGCTTCCCTCGTCCCTCCTCTTCAGAGGGCGGGCGGAAGCCCGATCTGCTTCCACCGCCTTCCTTCGGGACGGCCGACATGGGTACGGAAAGCATGGGCACAAAGACCGACAGCGGATCTTGTTCACTTTGAACCGGACTCGCTGTCCACGCCGCCGCGGCCTGTGTCCATTCGGGACAGAAGGCCGCCTGCCCAACAGCGGCCGCTGTTGGCTTGGGACAACACTTGTTGTTGGGCATTGTACCCATTTTTTCCGTACCCATTCCGGGCGTCCAAATTCCTGCTTCACGGTTTCTGCCTACTCTTCCCGATCGACGGATGTCCACGGATGCGGCGAGACGCCCCGAGCGGGCTGGCCCCCCGACGCCTCCCGACGGCCTCGCGGCCTCGGAGGCCCGGCGCACACCGTCCCCGTGAATCGGAGGTGGATAGACCTCCTGCCCTGACACGTCAGCCTCTAGGGGGACACGCCCGACCCAGCAGTATCTTTCGGTTTCTCCAGAGTTGGGACAACGGCAGTTGGCCTTCGGGGTGGCCCCTCGTCGCCACCGCTGGACTGGTGCGGGCGGACCCTGGGAGCGGCGGGCGCCAACCGACCACCCCAATCCGATCCTGGCCAGGCCCATGCCCAGACCCCTTCGCCGCGAAAGCATCACGACGCACGGTTCTTGTTGTTGTTTATCGGGGGTGGACAGACCTCCTCCCCTGACACGTCGACTAGCGAATTGGCCGTTTTCGGTTCGCGAGAGGGCGTCTCGGCCGTCTTTTTGCGGGTCCAGGTCCATCGGTTTCGGTCCCAGGCCGTTTTCACTAAGGGGAGGTTTACTAAAGGGAGGTTTGTCCACCGCCGAGTGAAGAGGCGGGGAGCCCTGAGGGGGTGTTGGGGTCGTTGTGCCGTTTCCGGTCAGCGCCTCCAACGCAGAGGAGGAAACGATGCACATACCGCTGCCCTTGCCTCATTTCTCCTTTTTTGGGCCTCTGGGAAGGCCTCTGTCGCCACCGCTGGATTCGCCTCGAAATCCTGGTGAGAGCGCTCCCCGGGAGAGGTCCAATGGTAGCGGTGTCGGTACCTTCCAGTTTCCCGAAAACATCAGAATAATTACGTTGATGTGCAACCACCACCTTTACAATAGGTAGGACGGGGGAGAAGGAAGGATGGGGAGGTCCTCCTCCTCCTCCTCCTCCACCTCCTTCTTCTCCTCCCTCTTTCACTCATAGCAGTTGTGGTGGAAAGTCGCCCCATCCGAGCTGCTGTCGCCCACCACGCTCATCTGTGAAAAACATTCGAGTAGGGTGTTTGACTACATAATCGATTTACAATTGTTTCTTGTCGAATCTATGAAACATGCATCGGATGATCTTTCTATCTACGGTGCTTTCCATGTATTTGCGTAGATTCAACGCGTAATCAATGTTGGGGTAAATCAAGGCGGTCGTCGATCCCTGATTCGAAACATGCATACCCGTATCCCCGGCATCCTGGGCCTGGCCCTTGGGCCGCGACCCCGCGGACACGGAGCGTTTTTGCGCAAACCACGCCAACCCAACCCCCCCCTTGTTTGCCCTCCATCTCCAGTGGGGGGTGATGTCTGGGAACATGGAACAAAAACACGTGTGGAGCCTGTACGCTAGGTTCGCGTCGTGTCGACCGGCGGCGACCCCGCCGCCGGCGTTCAACGTTGAACGCCGCTGGCGACCCATAATCAGTCGATGTTGAGCGATCAGACGTTTCGGAAACGCCCGATCGTTCAAGGTCGAACGAGCCAGCGCGGTGTCAGAGACCGACGCTGGGGTCGACACGACACGAGCTTGCCGTAACCCCCCAATCCGAAACTTGGGTCTTCGTGTTAGGCTGGGGTGGTTGGTAGGTATACAGTCGGGTCGCTGAAGAAGGAACCCTGTTCGTTTGGGAGGGGCTCAGTGTTCCTTAGCTGTTTTGCAGTTTGCCTTAGGTTTTCGATGGGCAATGGAAGCTCAACTTGTTGAGAAAACGGGCCTCGTTCCTTATTTAGGGTTCCTTCAGTCAGCACCCCGACTGTAGTCAGGACGTGCCCGCCGCTCGCGAGGTGCCCCCGCCGAGCTCGCCCGCCGCCGCGGCGGCGCGGCCCGCGCGGCGGCCGGACGGCGCCTGGAGCCTGCCGCTGGAGTTCCAGGCCTCCTCAACTCAAGCAGTGGCGGAGCGTCCTGGCTCGCCAGTAGCCTTACCTAACAATGTTCTAAGAACCTTTTGTGGTTTCCACGAGGTGTTCTTAGAACACTTCTGGTTGATATTCTCTTTTTTAAAAACATCGGGCTTATGTTCTAAGGACATTCTTCTTGTTCTAAGAACATTTTTGTGTTCGAAGAACATTTTGTGGTATGACTATAGAAACGCCGGGACGGTCGGTCCCTGCTCAATCAACGGGGACATTGGCAATCGAGTCGGCGATCGACTACAACTGAATGGGTTTACACCAGACTTGGTTACTCGGTCGAATCTACGAAGGACTGTCCCGTTGACAGACCAGCATGCTGCCTGCGTATCTTCTCGCAGACTCGACGGGGACATCGATCTGAATATGTGGTCGAGCCCCTCTTCGAGGCAAGGACCTGAGCGGGCCAGCCTGCCCTGCAGCGCCGTCGCACACGGTTCCCCCATGCAGTGCTTGCGCTTGTGCCGAGTGCCGCCGCACAGCCCATCGGCCGCTCGATAACAGATAGGCCGGCACGCCCCAAGCAGAGGATGGGCCCGTTCACCCAAGACCAATCAAGGCAGGGGTCCACGCGCGTGTTGCCTGAGATCAGGTGCCCTTGCGACCAGGCCCCAATTGGCACGACCGCCGCCCTTCGTCCCCACGGCACTGCAAACCAGGGCGTTGGGGATTCCACCGTGGAGAGGATGGAGAATGGAGAATGTTTCGACCCAGGGCTGCAGTTTCCAGGCCAGCCACAACTGGGGGAGCTGTGGTCCTTACCCCCCTCGGGGACCCATCGATTTCGACACCCCTCTCGAGAGATCGTCGATGCGATGGGTTCCCCCGGGGGGGTAAGGACCACAGCTCCCCCAGTGATGGCTGGTCGGGTTTCTCCCAGCACGCGCCACCGTCCTGGATTGTCAGCAAGTCCCCTTTTGGGGGGCCCCAAAAGGAGCTCACGACGCAGGACGTTCTGGCGCACAGCCGGTCCCAGGAGCGGCCGGGTGCCACGCGCCAGTGGAGACGTTTCTTCGACCGGGGTTTTCCTTGATTTCCTTGATTTGAATTGTTTTCCTTGATTTCCTTGGTTCCTTGATTTTCCTTGACTTCCTTGATTTTCCTTGATTTCCTTGATTTCCTTGGTTCGCCCATCGGGGCGTTTCTCTTCGATTTCGGCCTCTGGGGGTCGTGCCCCAGGGCCATCCAGCGTAGATCCAGGTGGAAAAGTTACTCCCAGGGAAGCGGTCGGGACCTGGGGCCACGGCTTGAACAAATCAGGTCGGCGGATGTCAGAGCCAGAGGAGGAATCAGGTAATCACTGGTACCCCTATCCTTCCACCTTCTTGGCCTCTGGGTCGCTCGGGAGGCCCTCGTCGCCACCGCTGGATTCGCCTCGAAAGCTGGTTAGAACGCACCCCAGGCGAGGCCGAGGGAGTAGCGGTGGAAGTCGGGCGTGGCCCTCTACAGGAGGAATATTCGAAAACAGTTAAAAAATAGTCAGGGGACGATGTTTCCACTATTTTTGATCGTGTTGGAGTATTTTTTGACTATCTTTTATTTTTCGTCCAAGTTCAGCCTGTAGGGGGACACGCCCGACCCAGCAGTATCTTTCGGTTCCTCCAGAGTTGGGACAACGGCAGTTGGCCTTCGAGGTGGCCCCTCGTCGTCACCGCTGGACTGGTGCGGGCGGACCCTGGGAGCGGCGGGCGCCAACCGACCACCTCAATCCGATCCTGGCCAGGCCCATGCCAAGACCCCTTCGCCGCGAAAGCATCACGACGCGCGTTTCTTGTTGTTGTTTATCGGGGGTGGACAGACCTCCTCCCCTGACACGTCGACTAGCGAATTGGCCGTTTTCGGTTCGCGAGAGGGCGTCGCGGCCGTCATTTTTGCGGATCCAGGTCCGTCGGTTTCGGTTCCAGGCCGTTTTCATTAAAGGGAGGTTTACTAAAGGGAGGTTTGTCCACCGCCGAGTTTTAGCATATGATTGGCCTCTTGTGCTACCCGCCGGGACCTGGAACTGTCAACAAACGACTCGGGATGAAAAGTTGGTCCCGGGCAATCGGTCGAGACATGTGGGGGTCAATGCTGCGACATGACAAGAAACCACGACGCGGGGGGTCGGGATTTTTGGTCCAGAATTGCTGTATGATTACGCTTTCCTGGTTTGCCCGGGGAGGCGTACACGCCGACTGGCCCATGCAGGATCGTCGAGCCTTGGCAGAGCGCTTTGATTTGCTCATAGTTCCACCAAGTAATGAGTGTGTGCATGCTACGCTCGAAACTGGTCCCAACTCAGACCCCGAAGCCAGCCTGTTTTTTGTTGTTTTTATCCGCCGCAGCTGTCACACGAAAAAGGTACCGATAGGACATGTGTCTAAAGACATAGCCGAAATCAAGGTCACAAAATCAACCGAGATGCATCATCAGTAGCACCGCGAAACCCTGCTGATTTGTGTGCCGTCTTCCGAGGCGGGTGGGAAAGACGGAGGGAGGAGGCAGAAAGCGGGAAGACGACGACGCGGACGGAGGAGGACGACGACGACGACGATGGCGGCGGCGGTGGCACGACGACGACGACGACGGTGGCGGAGACGGCGACGGCGACGGCGACGGCGACAGCGACGACGACGACGACGACGGCGGCGGCGGCGGCCGATCTCGAGGCGTTGGCCTCGTTGGAGTTCTCGACGCTTCGCGTAGCCCGCGCACTCGCCAGACCCATCCAGGAGGAGGACGACAAGGTAAGGAGGAGGATGAGGGAGAGGGGAGGAGGAGGTAAGAGGAGGAGGAGGAGGAGGAGGAGGAGGAGGAGGAGGACAATTCTGATTCCACTCTCGTATGGATCACCGCTCAGGACAACAAACAACCAACAACTAAAACTGACAAACAAACACATAAACAAACAAACAAACAAACAAACAACTAGACACAAACAAACAAACAAACAAACAACATCAACAACAACAGCACACAACGCACACATCAACACAACGTTGACAATGTGGGGGCCCTCCTGGGGAACCGTCTTCGGGGCAGTCTTGGGGGCCGTCTTGGGGGGCCGTCTTGGAGGCCGTCTTGGCGGGGCGTCTTGGGGGCAGTCTTGGAGGCAGTCTTGGCGGGATGTCTTGGGCGTTTTAGGGGGCCGCTTCGGGACTCCATTCCACATGCCAGGCACTTTCGCAGCGCAGCATCGCATAGCCTTCTTGGATCCAGACGGGCGACATGTCGTCCGATCAGCAACTGCGCGCGTGCTTGTTATCGCACGGACGTCCTTGGACTACGATATCTCCAGCTGCGAGATGACCCGCGTTGTGTTTCAGCCGATCAGTTCTTGTTGCGGTTGTTGCAGCGCTGGGCGGTTTAGCAGATCAGGTGTTTGGCTGCTTGGGGAAGGCGGTGGAAGATGTTGTGCCGATCTTACCGGATAAATTCACTACGTCCGGACTGCGCGATCTGATGGAACGGTTCGGTGCCGACACGATGCTTTTTGGACGTGTTGCGCCGGTATGACGCTGATGTTTTTTCTGACAATACTGGAAACGTAAAATGGGCACCTCGGGTGAGGGCTTCACATCTCGGGCGCGGGCGCCCCAAAGCAAAGTCAATATCAAGGCGTAAGAGGAGGGTCGCAGAGGCATTTTGCATATATCACCAGATGCTGACATCTTTTGAGTAATGCTAGACCATGGCCAAACAACTTCGCACCCAAGTTCTGTGTCGCCGGGCTGATAACTATAAGGAATTGCGAGATCAGTCTGCCATGGTCGAGATCGGAACGCGTCGCAACAGCGCGGTCAAGAAACATGTCCTTTCAGTTGGAGGCGGGTCCACACTATCAGTAACATGTAGCCTCGGCCATTCCAGCGCCTACGCTCTTTTGCAGCATTTGCAGGTTCCGACGACTCGGCACACAATGGCCCGATGGGAGCAGCCGGCAGCCTCTGCCGTAATCGCTGTTTCTTGGGCGTGGTATTTTGGCAGCTTTGTGCACGTCATGCACGTGCACGCAAATCGCAGGCACATGGTCGGAGGACTCGGCGGGGCGTCGAAGGCATTTCAGCTGCGCAGTGCAGCCGGTGAGGGGGTCCGCGACAAGTACCAAGATCGGAGATTACAGCGATCGTGTTTGCGAGGTTCCCACCATGTTTCAGCACTTACTAGATCGACTGCACGTTGATCATGGGTTTTGTCGGATTGATCGAACAATGAATGATGTTAACGGCGCCAACGCCGGCGCGACGCGGCCCCCGATCCTTGCAAGGCTGCGCAGCAGAGGGGGATCTTCTGGCATCAAGTTCGCTGCGTCGGTGCTTATGATTGGCTGCGCGACCCAGTGCAATCGGACACTACCGAGGCCAGCTGGGGCCCGACGGCCGGCGACAGCCATTGCGTCTACGACGATTGCTTTTACCTATTAGTTGGGATTTTCTCGATCGACTATGGGGGCGAGCAGGTGGGCGCGGCTGGCTTGCTGCTTGCTGGCTGTCATTTCCATGATCTGTCACGGATATTTCGGCAATGTTGCGTGTTTCACGATATGGTGCTCACTGTGGCGGAAGAGTTGACGTCGCTCGGGGTTTGGGTGCCCATCGCAAAGATCATTCATGTGCGGGGGGCTGGCGGCGACGCCTCAAAACTTGCCGATTCGTTCTCAGAATTGCACGGCGAGCTTCTGGCCGAGCTTCCCACGGGGCGATTGCCCGCGAGGCCCCCGCGGGGCCGCTGGGGGCATGCGCCGAGACCAGAGGCCCGCGTGATGAGCGCGTCGCGGGCGCAGCTGGATGCTGTTTTCAGGGCGGCTCTGGCTGCTCGCCCCGCTCGGCGGCGGCGGCCCCCCGCCGCCCCCGGCGTCGACGAGGGCGTCGACGCGGGGGATTATTCTGAGAGGGTGGGCACATGGCTGACAGCGGCGCCCTGCGGGGGGTGGGGGGTGGGGGGGGGGGGGCGTGGATGACTGAGGCGAAGGAGTGATGGGGGAAGGGCGAGTCGTCGTCGCCGCCGTCGCCTGCGCTGCTGGGGCGCGGGCGGAGACTAGATCGGGGTCGACCTGCGCATCGCCCGCGTCTCTCGTGGAGTCGTTGGCCGCATGACCTATTGGCCGCGCGTCGTCGGCGCGCCCTGGGGGGGTGGGGGCAGGGTGGGGTGGGGGGGTGGGGCGGGCGGGGCCGGCTTTCTCAGGCGGCGGCTGTGCTCGAGGCGTTAGGGTTACGGGTGGCGTTTTGGGCTTGGGGGTTAGGGCTATTGGTCTCTATTCGAAGTCCGCTGGGCGTGCCCCGCCAACCCATGACCCGCGGCGTGCAGAAATCAATGCGCCGAGGGCGTCAGTGCGAAGCGTCATGCGGAGTGCCTGCGCAGCGCCTCGACCCGATGCGGCGGCGGTGCCCCTCGCCTCTCTTGCGTCCGTATCCACTTGGGTTCTTGGCGGGCTGTTCGCGCCACCCGGGAAAATGCGCTTCTCCTTGGTTCGCGCCGCCGTGACTTGCAAGCGCCCGGCGGCTCTCGGGGCGGCCGACTCTGCCGGCGGCGCGGCGGGGGCGGCGGCCGAGCGAGGACGGGCCCCGCAGCGGGGGGCCCCCGGGCCAGCGGAGCATGTGCGCATCGCGGAGGCGGCGCGGGGCGGCGCAGCGGTGCGCGACCCGATCAGGGATGCGGGCCGCAGGCGTGGGGAACCGCATTTGCTGCAAGGGTTCCTGGCCGCATTTGGCCCACCATTGTATCTTTTACAAGGGAAAGCGGGGGGCGCCGAAGGGGCGGCATGAGGGGGGTCCGCGAGGGATTTCAGGCCTTGGATCGCTATGGGATCTTAGTTCTGAGGCTTGGAAGTTACGCGTAGGGACCGGGGTGGGGGTGGGGGTGAGGGGTGAGGGAAGCGGGGTTTGGGGCTCGGTCTAGGGGTTTGGGTTAACCGTTAGGGGCTGGGGTTGGAGTCTGGTGTTAGAGTTTGGGCTGTAGGGTTTAGCGGTCGGAGTTTTAGTTTTGGTTAGGCTTAGG